TCCTTGCTACTTCACCCAAACTTACATTCTTGCTTTGGGATAAAGTATATTCCAAGATTACCACTGTTGACGAAAATTGTTGGTTTATTCGGTCTCTTGAGAGCATAATCCTTAGTGAAGACGAAACTTCATTACAAAAAGCAGATATCAAGTAAATATCACATATGAAGGCACACTAAGTTAAATAATATTGGTGTTAGATTATTTTCTAACATATAAATCATTTTTAGAGTGTACATAGCTACTGCCTTTATTTATATGATTTCCACATCTCACCAGGCTAGTCGTGACGCGTATGATGCTCTTAAGACTTGCGTCCAAATAAACCCAAATTTTGTAGGGGAAATGGTTCGGGAAGGATTAACTAATTGGGTACTTAACGTAAGTCAAATACTAAATCTAGTCTCTTATACTTTAACAACGAATAAGTGGTTTTTTTCTAAAAACGGCGTACAAATAACTTAAATTTTCTTTAGCTTGAAAAGAATATCAAAGACTCTACAGCAATTTTAGCTTCTGCAATTGCACATCCCGATCCTGCCATTAATGCGTATAGACTCTCAAAAGTGCTCACTGCCATTACAACCTTTTCTGAGAAAGTTGACAGATCGGATGTAGAAAAATCGCTTGTTGAACTAATAATTTTATCTCATCATTCCGCAATTGGTTGGTAACGTTTTGTCGATCTAATTAAAGGATTTTATATATATTTAAGAATCGATTTTACTACAACTCTAGCGTCTCCTACCGATAAGTATAATTGGATAACTTTAGCACAAAGAGCAAAAGTTGACCCCGGAAAGTTAATTGAAAAGTATTCTGGACGTATCCTACAATTAATACAATCGGCGATTGAAAATAATAGTGAAGTAAGCTTTCCTTTAAAAAAAAACAAAAAATACCAACGTTATTATTTAATTTATCTCACTATATAATACTTTTTCACTTAAAGTCAAAAGATTTTTATCAAGCCGCCTTGTCAACGATATCAACTGTTACTTTTATTTCACCTGAAAAATTCTTACCATTGCTGATTATTCAATGTCGTAAATATTTGGATCCTTGTTTGTTTGAAAAAATAAGTGAGCAAGAGATAGGAATATGGAGAACTGCAGAAGGGACCTTATTTGTCGATGGTAATGTCTTGTATTTTATTTTGGTCATGTTAAAGAAATAGTATAATTGATTAACTTTTATCTCATTGGATAGTGCTCAAAAATAAGAAACAAGTTGTTGAAAATCGCAATAAAAAAGGTTATCAAACTGAAAAGTGGGAACGTGAAGTACGTGAAAAAATAGCCCAAAAGAAAGGCATATCGACGCCTAAACTAACGAAGGAAGAGCAAGCTGCAGTAAGTGCCCAACTGGCAAAAGAATCTGAAACGCGTAAAGCTGTTGAGAATGTTCGTCTAAAATTAATAAAAGGTCTTGATATTGTGGGTGCAATGGTGAAAGGAAACTCAGAAGCAGTCGAACAATATATTGTAGAGTTAATGAAATTATTGTATAACGTTTTACAAAAATGTGTCCCTTTGATCGGAGAAAAAGCAGTTAATACATATTTAGATATTAGTCTTTGTACATCTGAAAAGATTGAAAGCATTCGCATTCCAATTGGCTTAGCGACTCTCCGTGTTATGGAAGTCCAAGGAATTCCGGAAAAATGGCTTCAAGAATCATTAGATCTTCTTGTTTCACGTGTACTATTCCGTCTTCGTATCATAACAGAGCGCTCACTGATAACACCTTCGTCATTTGCTTATTGTTTCTCATTAATTCATCAA